TCCCTTAGGACCCCCTGGCAGGATAAAATCAGTTGTGGGAACCGGAAGCACTTTCTCTCGCCTGTTCAGTCATGACATCAACCGGAAGTCTTCTAAAGATATCCAATCTTTTAACCATACTGAACAACAGGTATCATAATAAGCAAGCCAAGACCTCCACTTTCTTTAGCATCTTACAGAATCTTACATTTATGTCTTGGTTTTTTTATTTTGCCAAATAAATTTGGATATATCTTTCTGCCACTATTTAAAAGAAGAATCTTTAATCAATACTCTGGAAAAGAAATAATATTAATAATAATAATAATGAGCCGAGGTGGCGCAGCAGTTAGAGTGCAGTACTGCAGGCCACTTTAGCTGACTGTGTTCAGCAGGTCAGCGGTTCAAATCTCACCGGCTCAAGGTTGACTCAGCCTTCCATCCTTCTGGGGTAGGTAAAATGAGGACCCAGATTGTTGGGGGCAATGTAAATATATGTATACATTGCTTACTGGTGTACACCGCTTAGAGAGTGCTTGCACTTAAAGCGGTATATAAGTCTCATAAATAAATAAATAAATAAATATTCTAGGAATATTCTTGTAAAATTCTTCCCATTAATGACAAATCTAATTTTCCACATCTGTGTGAATCCAATTTTATCTCATTTCACGTTTTAACATATTTTTATATAACTTAGAATTTTCATTAGTAAGCATCATTCCCAAATTCTTTACCTTTTTCACAATTTTAATTCCTGCTTTAATTTCCAATTTTCTTTCATCTTCCTCATTCACTTAATTTGTCAGTATTATCATCTTGCATTTATTTATTTTCAACCTGCCATTTCTCTAAATATTTTAAACTTCCTCTTAACATATTCAGTATTCTTAGTGGGTCTTGCAAAATTGAAATCAAATTATCCACAAAAGCACAGAGTTTATACTTTGATTTGTAACTTTTACTCGGTTGTTCTTATCTAATATTCCTGCTTAGCAATTCCGACATTAAGATAAATAATAAAAGGAGATAGAGGACACCCGTCTTCTTCCTTTCTGGATTTCACATGATTTTGTCAGATCTCCACTCACCATAATCTGAGCCTTTTGGGGTATATTAATGGATTTCAATCCATATAAGAAACTAAGTCCAAAGCCCATCCTTTTACTTACTTTAAACATAAAGTCCCAGTTCAATTGTCAAAAGCTTTCTTTGCATCTCAGAAAATTAATGAAACTTGTTTGTCACTACATTGTTGTAGATGTTCATTTTTATAGAAGATTTCTTTCACATTATCCTTTAATTGTAGAAAACCATACTTTTCTTCGTATGTGTAATCTTGTAACATGTTTTTAGGTCTTTCAGCTAAAGTGAATGTAAACAATTTATAACCATTATTAAGAAGAGAAATTGATCTGTAGTTCTTTGCAATTTAGTTCTGTCCCTCCTTGGGTATCAAAGAAATACAGATTTCTTTCCATGAATCAGGCATAGAATTTCCTTTTAAAATAGAATTCATTAAGTTCTTCATCAGAAGAAGTAGTTGATCTTCAAACGTTTGTAAATCCACTCAATAAGCCATCAAGGCCCGGTGCTTTACCCATCTTAGCTCTTTTAATTGCTTTTATTATTTCAAAAGACTATTCGTAATTTTCTTCTAATTTTCCAATAGCTTTGAGGTCAGTATACAGTACAATCATCAATTCATTCTAGTGCAACTTCATGTCTCTTATATAGATTAGTATAATAATTCCAAAAGAATCTTTGAATATTTTTATTATCCTGAAGTTTAATTATTGTCTTGTTTTTTTCCTGTTTCTTAATTTATGTGCTAACCATCTCCCTAATTTATTTGCATATTCAAACTATTGTTGTTTTGTATATTTCAATTTCTTTTCAATATCTGAAATGGTCAACAAAGAAATTTATTGTTGCCATAATTTAACTGATAGACCATATTACAATATTCTGATGATTTTTGAAGTTCTTTTTCCTTGATTTTAATTTCATGTAGCACTTTTAAATTTTTCCATCCATTTTTCTTCTTAATCAATGTATTATATTATATAAAATAGCCTGGTACCTTGGTAGTCAGCTGGCTGGTTGGCTCTTCTTCCTCTCTCCCTCTGCTCTTCTTCCTCCCTGGCTGCTGGGCTCTCTTTCCACAGTTTCTTCTCCGTCCCCTTCTCTTTCTCTGTTGTCTTTCTTTCCCTCTCTTGCCAAAACCATCTTCTTTTATATCCTCTCCTCTCTCCCCCCTCCTCCTTTTCAGTGCACCTCCAGCTGATTACTCTCCTCAAGGTTGCACTTTCCCCCCTGTTGTCATTTTCCCCTCTCTTTCCTGCCAAAACCTCCTCCTTTTATATCATCTCCTCTCACCCCCTCTCCTCCTTTTCTCTTCAGTGCACTTCCAGCTGATTCCTCTCAAGGCTGGACTTCTCCATCTCTCTTTCTCCATCCCCTTCCCTTTCCCCCATTCTTTTTTTCCCCCTTTCCTACTGAAACCTCCTTTTATATCATTTCCTCTCTCCCTCCCTCCTCCTTTTGTCTTTGGTGCACCTCCAGCTACACGCTGCTTCCAGAAGCACCAATTAGCTGGAGACTGATGCTGTCCTGGGGCTTCTGCCGAGTCCAGCTTTCTCTCCCTCAGGCTTCTGTGGTGTTGCCACTGCTTCAACTCATTCCCCTTCCCCGCTACACTTGTCTAGGATGGTCGCATACTATCTGCCAGGTGCCAAAGTACCACCCGTGGTACACGTACCACTGGTTGAAAAGCCCTGTTCTAGTATAACCTGCTCAGGCAGGAAACTCTATACTATTTCAGACAAATGGTTGTCTAAACTCTTCTTAAAAACTTTCAGTGTTGGAGCATTCACAACTTCTGAAGGCAAGTTGTTCCACTGATTAATAGTTCTAACTGGCAAGAAATTTCTCCTTAGTTCTAGGTTGCTTCTCTCCTTGATTAGTTTTCATCCATTGCTTCTTGTTCTGCCTTCAGGTGCTTTGGAGAATAGTTTGACTCTCTGTTCTTTGTCTCAACCCATGAGATATTGGAACACTGCTATCATGTCACCCTTAGTCCTTCTTTTCATTAAACTAGACATACCTAATTCCAGCAACCGTTCCTTATATGTTTTAGCCTCCAGTCCCCTAATCATCTTTAATGCTCTTCTCTGCACTCTTTCTAGCATCTCAACATCTTTTTTATATTGTGGTGACCAAAACTGGATGCAGTATTCCAAGTGTGGCCTTACCAAGGCATTATAAAGTGGTATTAACACTTCACGTGATCTTAATTCTATTCCTCTGTTAATGCAGCTTAGGACTGTGTTGGCTTTTTTGGTAGCTGCAGCACACTGCTGGCTCATATTTAAGTAATTGTCCACTAGGACTCCGAGATCCCTCTCACAGTTACAACTATTGAGCCAGGTACCACCTATACTATACCTGTGCATTTGGTTTTTCTTGCCTAAATGTACAACCTTACAAGAATGCAGAATAAACCCATCTGGTCATGTTTCCTATCTTGACTACAAGGAAGACTGACATCAATTTTGTAAATAGGGAAGTACAAATCTCCAGCCATATCTTTTACAGCTTGAGAAACTAAAAAGGGTCTTCTCTTAGATTCTTTTTCTACCTGTTATTTAGCTGGGGCCTATGCCCTCTCTATCCCTGGATAGCATTTTTGACTCCGTTTCAAAGCTTTTTCACTCCCCCCAAGCCCCAATTTTGCTTGCCTTTAGGAATGCTGTTAAGATCCAGCTTTTCAACTGGAATTACAGGCCAATTGAATGGCCCTTTTAGTTAGTTTTATTATAGTGTTTGGTCACAATTTTATATTCTATATTTAATACTGAAGTTTATGTATTGTGATGTTTTATTATTCTTTTTCAGTTTACAGGAATTAGGTAGCATATACCGTATATGCCAGCGTATTAGGCGACCCAGCGTATAAGACGACCCCTGTCTTTATCGCCGGGTTGCCTTCCTAGAACGTCGTCTTATACGCCGGAAACTATCAGTATTTCCGGCATATAAGACGACTCGGCATATAAGACGATCCCCGTCTTTGGCGCCGAGTTTAGCGCTTCCGGAAGTCGTCTTATACGCCGGCATATACAGTAAATCTAGGAAATAAATAAAAATAACATAAACATTGATAAAGGACAAGAGGTAATGGAGGGAAGCTTATCAAAAAGAGGTCCAGCCTAGAATTAAGAAAAAATTTCCTGACAGAACAATTAACCAGTGGAACAGCTTGCCTCCAGAAGTTGTTGGTGCTCCACCTCTGAAGGTTGTCAAGAAAAGACTGGACAGCCATTTGGAATAATATAGGATCTCCTCCTTGAACAGGAGACTGGACTAGAAGACCTTGAAAGTTCCTTCCAATTCTGCTGTTTTATTATTCTCAGATGACTGTTGAAGTTTACAGAAACCAAAAATACTTTATAAGTGTGACAATATTAATGTTTAATTAAAATCCCGAATTTAGATTAGAAATTCTTATTTTATGTCCATTTTCAATCAAGAACAGTTTCTTGATGATTCAGGACAATTGTTTTACTCACAATTTAACTCATAGACTTGTTAAGAAATGCTGTTTCCCATTTCGTTTTTCCAGAAAAAAGGTTTCCAGAAAAACTGAGAATGGTTGTTGGCCTCGGTAATAATGAAGGTTGAAGGAAAGAAAATAACTAATAGAATGGAGGGGAGAAAATTAATTGATCTTATTAAGTCTTTTTGCATCTATAGAATATGCTGGAAAATGTGATGTTAAATTGCAGAAAAGGCTTCAGTGTAATTTATTATTGGAACAACATTCCCACAATATAAAGTTTGGGGGTTTTATTTTTCTGTGACATCATGAAAGATGCACATTAATACTTGATTTTTATATCACATGTTTTATTCTATAATACAAAAGCAGCATCATAATTACTTTTGATGGCTGATGTTGTCGTTATACCTTACCTAATGCTGCTTTCTATCCTCTGTTCTATTCCTTGTTCCACTGATAGACAGATGAAGAAGATGACATTGAGGTATGATTCTGAGAAAAAGCATGTTCTGTTCAAATCTGATTGCTGTGAGAATTACTGATAACAAAGGTAGCTCTGTGGGAATGCTTCATTATCATGCTTTGTGGCTGCAATTCTTATATCTGCAGTTCTGTATTTTCTTAACTGGGAATAAGTTCTTTTGAATTTGATGAGATTTATTTCTGAGTAGGAATTCACAGGATTGTACTAAAAGACTACAATGTACCTAATGCTTGATACAGGTAGTCCTTAACTTACAAACTATTCATTTAGTGATTATTCAAAGTTGTAATGTCACTGAAAAAATGTTTTTTTCACATTTATGTCTATTCCAACATTCCCATATTGATATCATCAAAATTTGGTGCCCAAATTTGGGCACCTGGTATATATTCGCTTAATGACCGCATGATTCACTAACAAACTGCAGTGATTCACTTAACAACTATGGCAAAAAGGTCATAAAATGGGGCAAAATTCATTTAACAACTATCTTGCTTAGCAATGGAAATTTTGAGTTCAGTTGTGATCACAACTTGAGAACTATCTATATGGCACTTTTTCTATCAACATGATGACTGTAATTGGTTATCTGAAAAAGCATAGTAGGTCTGTGCATATAGATTTAGATATAGATATCAGATATAGATTTCTGCCCATTTGCCACAAGGATTGCCAATCCTAAATTTCACATTGTATTATAGAAATTGTGACCATCAAATACTGTGTAAGTAGTCCGCATTTAGCCACTGCAATCCATTCTGGTGACATGCTTGCTAAGTAGCTTGGTTGCTAAATGGATTGCAGGACTGAGAGAACTGCTGTGAAAATCACTGGTTGCCACCATATCGTTTGGATAAATTTCTCGTGTATAGTGATGCCAGGGATATTCTTATTATTGGGTATTGAAATTTGAGTGCAAGTGCTTTAATCAGAATATGATTTATTATTATTTATTCCTATTGTATTTGCAAATGTTGACTAACTAAGGTAGTTGTAAACAAGGACTGGTTATATTATTGGAAGAAAAGAATTGTTATGGCAATTCCAGAAGACAAACTGAAGTAGAAAAATAAGCAATACCAAATAGCAGTTATCTTTTCCCCTCTTCATGTCATATTTGTCACGGGAGGTGGTTAGAAGGGAGACATCCAGTAAAGAATACAACAAAATAAGCAATTTTATACAATTTAAACACAAACACCAGAAGAAAGAAATGGAGACAAAAATATATTTTACTGGAGATTTTTAACATTGTGAGGGAATTCATCAGGTTGTAGAGCTTTTACTTGCATTATTTAGTGTTTCATCTTTGCTTGCTTTCACTCAGCTTCTGCTGGATATAAGTACTTATACAGGATCTCTGCATTATGTGGAAATACATCATTTAATCATTTCCACTTGAATAAGAATAGAAATGACTTGAGATGACTTTGCTTTGGTAGCTCTGAATGAGTCATTTTTCTGAGCATGTAGTCTGCCTATTTAGGATCAGAAAACTGAGGCAGACTTTTCCAAAGGTGAACTATTCTTAATGTCATACTTTATAGAAAAGCTGGTAATCCATTATGTTTTAATATACTGTATGTTGCAATATGAAAACTTTGTAATTAACAAATGTTTTTCTAACATTGCTATGTAACAGTATTGATTTTTTTAAAAAAAGCTAATTTCACTTACCACCTATAAAATGTTAATTTGAATGTGATATTTGAAAGATTTTTTGAAGATCTTTATAAATAGTAGAATAAATGTTAGTTTTTTTTCTTAGATATATTTCAGATTATTTCCATATCTTATAGGAATTTGTTATGTTTTAAATTTGCAATTAATATTGCAAATAATCTCTAAATAATGTTCACATTTATACTTGAATCATTTAATTCTTTCAAATGTGATAATAGTTTTACCATAATACTAGCAAAAATAATTAAAATATATTACAATAATATTTATTAGATATTTATTCTGACTGTTTTTTATAGTTTGCTTACTATTCCAAAATATTTTCTAATTCAGATTAGCCTAGCTTGCAAATGGGGAAGAACTGACTGCTGAAATTATGAAAGTAATGTAATAGTGGTGAAAGTAGAGTTCTTCATAATCTTGGAATAATAATAAAAATTATATTCAAGAAAGAGGTAGTAAAAATTCCAAATAGGGTTTGGAGGGTTAATTTATTTAGAGCAAATAGAATTATAAATGGTAGATGCATATGACAGAGGTCCAAACCCAGTAGCATTGAGTCTTCACCACCTAATGACCACTTCATAAGATCAGTCTGGACTATCATTCTATAGAATGACACTAACTAGAGATGATAGATATTGTCATTTTTTACTGTGAGTGCACTGGCACACATTAAAAATGAAATTCTGTTGCCCGTTCTCAAAAGAATATATAACACACATATACACATATATACATACACATGATATATACATACACACACACACACACACACACACACACACACACACACACATATCGTGAGTTATATATATAACTCACGATCACCAGGAGAAATAGGAAAAAATTTAATAAAACCGTCGGGAGCTTCCGACATCATCAGGGTTATAGCCAGTTAACAGAAATGCCTTAAATAAGGTTAACTAACGTTTGTGCCCAGCTCCTAGACCGCATCATCAGCCCCAGCCAGTTAGATTGTTTTCTAGTCGTTTCTTTGATGTCTGCACCCAGCTCTTTTCTATCCCTCCTTTGAACATTCTTACTGGATCCTAGGTTTGTTAAAAACTAGAATACAATCTAACCAGCTGGGGCTGATGACGCAGTCTAGGAGCCAGGCACAAACATTAGTTAACCTTATTTAAGGCATTTCTGTTAACTGGCTATAACCCTGACGATGTCGGAAACTCCTGACAAAAGCTCGGTTTTATTAAATTTTTTCCTATTTCTCCTGGTGATTGTGAGTTATTTATTTTATGATATGAACATACCCAGGAGTCACATTTTTACGGATATTTCTAATCATACACACACACACACACGCACACACACACACACACACACAAACATTACTACAATCAATATATGAAAAAACCATGGCAACAATTTGCCTTAATGATCTTAAAGTAGAAATCAACATAGAACAAGGTGTACGACAAGGCGATACAAGCCTGCCTTGAAGAAGTATTTCACAAACTAGACTGGGCAAAAGATGGAGTAAAAATCAATGGCGCCTATTTAAATCACTTAAGTTTTACAGTTGATGTTCTCATCTCACAAGATCCAGAACAACTATAAAGACACATACAAGAGCTGCACAAAGCAGAACTATTTGGCTTAAATCTGAAAAAGAGCCAGATTACATTTAATAAATTCATCAGTGAAAGAAAAATTTTGTATCTGGAGAAGAGCTAGACATAGTAGACCATCACATATATCTTGACCAATGAATCTCATGGAAGGTGATACAAAAAAGAAATTGAAGAGTGTGTTAAATGTAGTTGGCAGGCATTTGGCAAGATAAGCATAATTTTCAGGAACAATCTCCCCCAGGCAACTGAACTTTCTTGGTTTTTTTTCTTGAAAATATTTTGCTTTTCATCTAAGAAGAATGGAAGAAGCAATTTGGTCAGTAAGCAAAATAAAGCAGGACAAATGCTGGCAGGAGGTTAGCTACAACAATGTATCAGCTTCTCAAAGCATTTCATAATGATGGATGTCAGTGCAACTGACAGTAATCACTGAGGCCTGTAATTGTGGACTTTTTTGGCACCAGCAAAATGATGGCCGTCTTAAAACACGATGGGACCACTGCCTGCTGCAATGAGAGATTGAAAATATCTATAAGAACACAAGCCAGCTCATCAGCACATTCCCTAAGAACCTGCTCAAGGAGATTATCGGGGCTAGCTGCCATCTGAATATTAACTTTCTGCAGTGTTTCCCGGATAGAAGTGACATCAAAGCTAAGCACTTGCTCATCAGGATGGGGCACAGCTTTCTTAGCAGGATTGCCTCAAATCTTCCAAAAAATGTATTCAGTGTCATCCTTGCATCTCAATGGAGCCACCTTATAATTCATAATTGCCTGGATTCCTTGCCACATGCGTCTGCTGATTGTTGGGTCCTGAAAAAAGTTCTGAACTTTCTGGCTTGCTTTGCACCTTTTACGGCACTTTTCAAATTAGCTCTGGCTGTTCTAAGTGCCAGCATATCGCAGGATTTAAAAGCCACATTCCGTACCTTCAGCATCTTGCAGACCTCATAAATCAGCCACAGTTTTTCATTCACCCTCCCAACAATGCTTTTAAGGACACAGACATCCTCAGTGCACTTTTGGATATATGCAGACACCATGGTGGCATACTCCTCAACATTTATATGTTGGTTGTCAGATGCTGCTTCTTTAAACAAGCCCCAATCTGTGCACTCAAAGCAGTCTTGTAATGCTTCTATCGCTCCCTTAATCCAAACCCTCACTGCTTTACTGTAGGTTTCACTCTAACTAATAAAAATTTATATGCTGGAATAAGCAGCACTGAGATGATCAGGGGGGCCCAGGTGAGAGTGGGGATAGCTTTGAATGCATTCCTGATGTTGGAATAAGCAAGATCCAGTGTATTGTTCCCTCTGGTTGCAAAGTCCACATATTGATGGAAATGGGGAAAAGTAGCTTTCAAATCAACTTGATTAAAGTCCCCCACTACAATAAATGCACCCCCTGAGTAAGTACTTTATAAGTCACTGATGGTATGATAGAGAACATTCAGGGCCTCTTCTCTGTTTTTATCAAGGGAATATACACAGCTGTGATAATGATAACAGAAAATTCTCTAGGCAGATAGAAGAGTCTGCATTTAATGGTCAAAAGCTCCACATCAGGTGAGCATAGACTTAAAACCACCTTGGCATTATTACACCATCTGTCATTTATATAAAAACAGACACCCTTTCCCCAGGATTTGCCACTAAGAGTAAAACTCCAGTCCAGCCGAAATGTTGAAAATCCCATCAAGCTAACAGCATTATCTGGAACAGAGGGCTTTAACTAAATATATGGTTCAATGGTTCCGAGATCACATCTGCCAGCTCCTTGAGATCTCTGGGATGTAATCCATCAGGTCCCAGTGATTTGAACTCATCTAGAGTGGAAAGGTGTTCTCTTACCTTTTCTTATTTTAATTTCTATTCCTAGTCTATCTTTTATGTTTATGTTTTTGATAGGTTAGGCTATATTATCTTTTTACATGAACACAGATGCAAAAAACTTCCTTGCCATTTTCTCTCATTAATGGATTGTTGTTTCCTTAACCTTTTTCTTGTTTTTTATATGTTGAAAAAAGCTTTTTTATTATTAGGAGTCTTTGTGGTATTCAAGGCTGACTCAGCCTTCCATCCTTCCAAGGTCGGTAAAATGAGAACCCAGATTGTTGGGAGCAATATGCTGACTCTGTAAATTGCCTAAAGAGGACTCTAAAGCACTGCAAAGTGGTATATAAGTCTAAGTGCTATTGCTATTATTGTTTTTGACATTTATTGCAAGTGTTACTTCTTGCTGAGCCTCAGCATTCATCTTTACAACTTTGGGCTATTTGTTGGTATTCTGCCTTGGTTATGTGTCCCTCTTTCCATTTTTTATTAACCATGCTGGCTTCTTCTTGAATTTTTTCTTTTTCAGTGATATTGAGCTGAACTGGGCTTTTATAATCATATTTTTCAGTTTCCCAAGCTTCTTGAGTTATTTTCCCCTTTAAGATTTTCATTCACAGGATTCTTCCAAAACTTCCAAGTTTGTTAAGGCACTGATTTGATTACTTATGTTCTATTGTTTGTGTTTCCATTATACTGAATTCCAATATGACATGATCACTCTCCCGCCAAGTTTCGGCAACTTTAACCCCCTCTATCACTTCTTCTCTGTTAGTAAGAATTAGGTCCAGTATAGCTGTCACTCTAGTTCCTTCCTGTACTTTTGGATGGCAAAATTGTTTGATCTCCCACTTGATGTAGAGTTTGTCTCCCATTTGATGTCAGAGTAGTTTAAGTCCCCCATTATTACTGTGTGTGTTTCCTACATACATTTGTTAACTGGTTAGCTAAAAAGTCCATCCCTAGTGAGGTCTTACATATAATGCAACTCCATCTCCTCTTTTGTTAGGTCTGTTTCTTTTGAACAGTTTGTAGCCTTCTCTCAGTACATTCCAGTCATGTGTTTCATCCCACCAAGTTTCAGTAGTGACAACTGTATCATACTTGCCCAGTACTTCAAGTTCACCTTGTTTGTTCCCCAAACTTTGAGTGTTTGTGTATAGGCATTTCAGTCCTTTATGGCTGACCCTGGGTATACTTCCTGTATCTCCTATTCTATATCTAAGTTTTCCTTCCTTTCCATCACTCCCTATCTCATTATTTGAAAAAAAAATACTTTTCTATTTATAGTCTCTGAATGAAAATGTAGATAAAAGATTTGATGTTTTAACAATCGTCATAACTCAACTCAAGGATGATATTCAGATATAGCTAACAGCAGCTAAATCACACTTGCAATTGGGTGAATTAGAAGTCAATTTGTTGTTGACAGAATTGAAGGAGAAGGAAGGAAAATTGCAAGCTTGTTGAAGAAGGCTGAAAAGGGCATGAATTTAAAAGGCTTAGAGACAGAAGTATGGATCAGTGGTGAACTGGAGTTTTTTTTAAAAAACTGATGAAAATTGTGGAGTCATCATATTCAGTCAGAACACAACTGAAGAGATATTTTGGTTCAATTTGCACAAAAAAACTTCTGAATGTTGTGGAGATACCCACAACAGAGAACTAGGACTTGCAATTATTGGGAAAGATCCCAATTATAATTTTAAGGAAAAGCTTTATTATTAAGAATCAGTTGAAGATATTTGAACCTGGACAGATTAGAGATAATGACTGCAGTTTTTATGGTAATTTAAAAGCCCATTGTGGAATTTCTGCCTGTGGAATACAATATTAGATCGTCAATAGAGTTTAGTATTGGCTTTACCTGTTAACGGGTTGTTGTTTTTACAGTAAATAGATGGTAAGTCAATTTAGTTAGGCAAAAAGAGCTGTTTATAAATTATAGACCTGTTTTTAAGAGAGGAAATTATTATTGTTGGGGATGTGCATTTTGTACACTTTTTGTCTTGTTTAGTTTTTGCTTTGTTATTGTTTCCCTTTTTTCTGTTAAAGTTTGTATTTTAAGAAATACAATTAAAAAATTATATAAAAAAGAAGAAATTATATTTCTAGAAATGCAGCATGAATAAAATCTACCAAGGATTGGCCTTTTTCATTACCAAACTAGAATTGAAGAATTAAATCTAAAAATGATTAATTTCTTTTCCTTTTTTCACAGTCTGGAAAATTCTCTAGTACATTTCCAACACCTCACAATCAACTGCAAGAGTATCAGGATACTGAAAATGCTGTAGAACATGAGAACATGAAAGCTGTTCTGAAGACGTCATCTCCAACTGGAGAGAACATTGCATTAGGAATACGCACTCGATCCAGGGCCAATCAAGGTGAACAGTTTGGATTTATGTGAGGAATTGTGATTCACTATGTTTTTATTATTGTTGTTTGTTGCACAATCAGATGTTTAGAGTGGATTTGGCATTTCTATTCACCTATCAATTCCTTCCCAAGGACCTGAATAGGCAGATGTAGTTACTTGATGGTGTTACAGATATTATTGCAGGATATCAGCTGTTCTGGATATAAGCCTTTTTGCAGCTGATGATTGATGTTCAAGAAATGCTCCAATTGTTTTTGGATTGTAATCAAGGTGCCTATCTTAGTATTGGTACTATCTTTGTTTTGCTTTCTTTTCCCATAGTCATTCTATTTCTATTTGCAATTCTTTGTATTTTGTGATTTTCTCTAGTTCTTTCTCTTCTCTTCTACTGTCTCCAGGCACTGCCACATCCACTAAGCAGACTTTTTTCTCTTTCTTATTGATTAGACATGTCAAACACAAGGCCCAGGGGCCGGATGCGTCCCGCAAAGTGGTTACATGTGGCCCGCGAAGCCATCCTGGAAATAGTGAGGGAATGGCCCCCGCTGCCTTGGCCCTGGCCGGCCAGGAAGGAGCCAATGTACAATTTTGTGGTGGCCATCTATGTGAAACGCATTCAGTCTTAGTTCCACAAGGCCATCTGGAATGGTTTAGGTTCCACTCATTTTTTTGTCTGCTTGTGCGTTGTAGGCTGCTCTGGCTTTATTTAGGGCTTTGCAAATGACTGGCCGGGTATTTTTCAACTGGTCAATTCATTCCTTCAACAAGGGAATAGTGGGAAAATTGGCTGGCAGCTCGGACATGAGATTTGTCTTGCTTGATGGCCACTCTGAAAGGAGAAAGGCAATGCTAGTGTGTATAGCATTGTTGTAAGTAACCTCTGAGAAAGGCAGGAGGTCGGTCCAGTTATCTTGTTCATAGTTAACGAAGTATCTCAGATACTGTTCTAGAACCGAGTTTGTTCGTTCTGTCTCCCCATTCATTTGAGGATGATGACTAGAACTCAAGCCCTGATCTGTCCCCCAAAGGTCCAGAAAGGCTCTCCAGAACTTTGAAGTGAATTGGACCCCCTATGTAAAATTATTCAATGTGTGGCCCCAATGCAATTGATATATGTGATGAAGGAACAGCTTTGCCAGGGTTTTTGCCATGGGAATCTTTTGACATGGGATGAAGTGGACCTGTTTTGAAAACAGGTCAGTCACTACCCAGATTACTGTATTTCCCACATTTTCTGGCAGCTCTACAATAAAATCCATAGAAATCTCTCTCCAAGGTGCTGAAGAATCAGCCACCAGTTGCAGGAAGCCCTGGGTTTTCCCTTGCTTCCGCTTGGCTGCTCCACAGATGGGGCAGCTGGCCACATAACTTTCAATATTCTCTTTAGGGATGGCCACCAAAACTCTCTCTTTAAAGGGTTTTTATGAATCCGAAGTGCCCCACCAGTTTCGAATCATGAAAATTTTGCATAGTCTTTATTGTCTCACTGGCGGGGACTTACAACTTCTATCCAGGCTAGACCCTCTCACATGGAGCAGAAGTTCTTATGGTTCAGAAACCACTCATCTTTTTCCAGGGCATGTTTGAAAGCGAGGTTGGTGGTGTTGCCTAGTGGCTGGGTTTTTCTTGTTTGTGCTCTCATCACTGGAACAGCTATCTGTTTTGCTGGAAGCAAGGGTTTGACCATTTCTTTTTTGGCACTATAATATTGGGGCAGTCTCGACAAATGTCAGCTAGAAAGTTCTCACCCACCCACCCACCCCCCGGTAGGTAGTGGAGGGTAAAATTGAAGTGCTGAAAATGCTGGGTCCACTGTGCTTGTTTGGGGGACAGCTTCCTCAAGGGCCTCTAGATTTTTATGATCAGTCCAAACTTGGAAAGGGATCTTGCTCCCTGCTAGGAAGTGCTGCCAAGTGAGGAGGGCCCACCTAATTGCATAGGCTTCCTTCTCCCACACAGCCCAATGTTTCTTTGTTTCTGTCAATTTTTTTCGATGTGTAAGCACAAGGTTGCAATTGGCCCTGGTCATTTTCTTGAAGCAATACCGTTCCCATGGCCACATCACTGGCACTTGCCTGAATCACTAAAGGCTTTTCTGGGTCTACTGTCTCAACACCAGCTCAGCAGAAAAAAGTCTCTTTAGTTTTTCAAATACTGCTTGGCGTTCTGTGGTGCATTTCAGTTTGTCCACGCCCTTCATCTTTAGTAAATTGGTGATGGGAAGAGCGATTTGTACAAAGGAGGGGATGAATTGCCTGTAAAAGTTTGCAAAGCTGAGGAAGCTTTGTAGGTGCTTCCTGGTGTAGGGAGATGCCCAATCCAATACAGCCCGCACCTTCTCTGGGTCCATTTCTACCCCCTTGTGGGAGATATGGTAGCCTAAGTAGTCAATTTTTTCTTCGTAGAACTCATATTTCAAGAGTTTAACATACAGTTTAGCAGCCCAGAGTTTGTTCAGGACTGCTCCAGCCAAATTCATATGTTCGGCTTTTGTCTCCAACATAAATTAATATGTCATCAAGGTACACCAAGACCCCCTTGTATAGGTGCTCACTTCGTTCATCAGCTGCATAAAAACAGCTGGAGCCTCTTGCAGTCCAAACGGGAGCACTTTGAATTGAAAGCAGCCTAGGGGGCAGTTAAAAGTCTTCTATTCATCCCCCTCCTTAAGCCTAACTTGGTAATATGCCTCACACAAGTCCAGTTTAGAGAATATTTTCCCTTTTGAAAGATGGGCTAGCATATCTTTCATGAATGGCAGGGGATACGGGTTTTCCATGCACACTGTGTTCAGAGCTCCATAATTCGTGCACAGATGAAGAGACCCATCTTTGTTCTCTTGGAACAGAATTGGGGTGGCCACCCTGGGTCTAGCCAGTTGTCTGAACCTCCGGGCTAAATTCTATGAATTTGTGCAGTTCCTCTAGCTCGCCTGGGGTCATCAAGTACAACTTTGGCTTCAGCAATTAGGCCCCTGGGACTGTCTCAATGGCACAGTCTGTGGATTAGTGGGGGAGAGCTCATCCAAGCCCTTCTCACTAAATATATCAGCTAGATTGTGGTATTCTCATGGTATGCCCTGCAGCAATTCACCCTTTGAAGCAGCCCCCACCTCTCGGCACCTTGCTTGCTTTGCAGCTGCCACCACATGGGCTTTGCTCTTTCTTTGGGAACTTTAGAAGCCTCTTACTCCAATCCACTCATGGATTCCATTTCTTTAGTCAGGTCAACCCTAGGACCAGGGACCATTCCATCCCAGGCACCACAATAAAAGTCAAAGTCTCGGAGTGCCTGCCCATGGTTAGATCCAGAGGTTTGGTGGCAAAAGTGACTGGGATGCCCCTGGCAACTGACCCATCTAGTTGGAAAAATGCGATTGGGTTCTTTAACTTCCTCAGGCAGATCCCCAATGTTCTTAAGGTTGAGCTTATTAAGCAACTGGTGCACCCCAAATCTAGTAGAGCCTTTAGGGCCATTTTTTTTCCCAAGCTTGGGATTAACAATTCTATGGGCATGGTTACTGGCATGATCAGCCCACATACCAGGGGGTTGTCATCATAATTGCTGTCAGAAGCTCTCGGGTCTTCTTCCAATAGGGTTGGAGTTCCCTCTCCTATTTTGGAGGGGAATGGAACTCCACAACCTCAGCGCTCTTTAGAGCTGCATCTTTGGCATGCAGCAAGGGCATCCCCTGTTTCTCTGCTGGCAGTCGATCCCCTTTCTTTGCCAGGATCTTCATCCTGCATTTAGCTGCCCTGTGGCCCTCTTTGCCACATTTGAAGAAGGCAGTTGAGTGTGACAGCATTGTCGGAGGTTTGGCCATCTACCCTCTTCTCTTGAGTAGAGATCACCTCCACACCCTGCCTAATCAGTACTGGTTTAGTGCTTGGTTGATCTCTGCCTCTTTGGCTAGAATGCACCAGTCATGGAAGCGATCCAGGGCTCCTCTGGCAATGCAGGTATTGTACATGTCATCGTTCAAATCATCTTTGAAGCAGCTCACCAGGAGGTTGCAGGCTAGGTCCCGGAACTCTTCAGTGAATTTGGTTACTGGGTGACGGCCCTATCTTATCATTTTGATGTGGTCTCCAGCTTTCCGGTCAGCTAGGAGGTCCTTGAACTTCCATCTCAGTGCTGTCATAAAACAATTGAAATTCCAGAGCTTCGGGGCATTGGCATTGTGGAGGATCACCATCCAGCAGGCCACAGCTTCCTCTAGGGCTAGGATGACCACTCTCACCTTGGCCCCTTCCGTGGGGATGTCTCGCCCATATTACAGCATATAGATGAAGACGTAGGCGAGGAAGAACCTCAATTGCTGAGGGTATCCAGCAAATTTGATGCCAAGGGAGGGGGTGCCTTTTTATCCTGAAGATCTGCCCTCCCACCAGCCTTGCAGGCATTTGTGTCCCCCCGGTTCCTCCAGGAAGGGTTGGCTGGCATGGCAATCTCATTCTTGGCCAATTTGGCGGTCCCTGCAGCTGTCTCAGGAAGGGGGGACCCCCCCTTTGCAGGTCTTCTCCACACACTTCTCGTTGCCCTTCTTGTGTTTTTCACTCACCTTTTCCAGGTGGGCTGTGGTTCCTCACATTTTTAGATTTTGGAATGCTTCCATCAGGAAGCATATGGCTTGCTTCATGTGATGGTCGACATGGTCTGGTTCTTCATCCAATTGGTCATCTTCATAGAGCGCTTCCTCCATTTTGTGTTTCCAGCCACTATATTCACTGCCACAGGTAAGGATGATCCTTTTGGCTTTTCCCAATTCTCCTTCCCCACACCAACAGACCATCTCAGTTTCTCAGGGTCTTCCAGGGCAGTAATTTCCTTTGTCCATTCACAAGACATTGTACCGGGGTGAGTTTTATAGAGGTCTCTCCTCAGCATTCAGCCTCTCTGAACTCACTGCCTTGATTGGACATTGTTTGCTAGGTCCCTATAGTAGAGCTGGTGCCTCTCCAGGTTTACCACTTTGCAGATGTTTGATAGCTATGGTTTGACTTATTC